TGGCTCGCACCTTTAACTGTTACCTCGGGGGATAGCGGCATGTCTTTGGGACCTCCCGCACGTCCTCCAGAGGAAAATACGATAAGTTTATTCATTGGGTTTTTTAATTGGTAGCGAAAGCACGTACATTGCCTATTCGAAAATTTCATGGCTGCGAGCCAAAACCTTTAGATGATTTTTTGTGAATTCGCCAGACAGCAAACAAATACAAGTGATGACTGTGATATATGTTTAAGGCTGTTCTATATTGTGGGATGTTCCGCGAAAACTGCGGATGAGAGGAAGTTTGGCAAGCGGGCCAAATTCAATTTTGAACGGTCGTTTGCATATCTGCAGATTACCATTACATTCGACTCTATATTTAAATGAGGGGCTGCAAAGCACCGCCTTCGCCAACACACTCTCAGGCTTCTGTTAACTGATAATTACTGACTCAGAGCATCTCAACAACTTTCAGCACAAGAAATAACTTAGAAAAAATACTTATGCCTGGGAAGGGTCCAAAGACGCGTCGACTTTGCCTGCAGAGCAATAGAATGCTAGGCTAGCAATATATGTATGAGCAGTTGCATTTTATTAGGTCATAAACGCACAACTTCAAGAACAACCCAATAAACGATCTAGTCATCCAACATAAGTATTTCGTTAGGCGTCTAGGCACAAACAAATGAAAGAGTTAAAGAGTTTTGCTCCGCTAAAAGTACTAAAATTAAAGGCAATTTTACATGCGCTTCCTTTTACCTTTCAAAGCCATGCAGTAAGAAGCTCAGTCAGCTTATCAGCGTATTGGGGATGTGTGATGTTAATAATTTTAGAGCGCATAAAAATGACGAAGTCACCGAGCTGAAAGAGAAAAAAACATACGTGAATCTTGTTTTGAAGTTCCATATTTCTGTGAGACGCGTCAGCTGACTCTCTTTCATGATCTGCTGATAGTTCCCTTACAACTACCTGAAAAGCGAATTGTCAGTTCAAGTCACATCGTATGCATCACTATTCATAGATGTTTCGAAAAGCAGAGATGCTAGCACTGATATAGTATTGCCGGTACTGATGATTATCTCTAAAAACAGCATCACAAAAATGCGCGTTGCCCTTGCCAAAAGCGAAACATGAACGAAGATGATTTATGTTCTGGAGACGTCCTCGTCTAAGTGACAATTAAATGGCAAAGCAAAGGGCGATGAAATTGGAAACTGCATCCCCAATCAAGCTGATTACTAAGAAGACAACCACCCACTCAACCAGATACAATGATTCACTATGCATGACGGGTTCGATGATGAACAGGTAAGACTCCTCGACGTCCCATAAAACGGCGAAAAAGAAAAATGTTCTTTTTTTTTTGTGAAGAAGGCATTGCGTATTCATTTGCAGTTGCAAATTCCGCGTTCTCTTTCTTGTTTCTTGTTGTTAAAAAGGGATAACTGAACTAATGAAAAATACAGCCAAACAAAAAATTTAATGATGTAGAACTGTGAGATATATGGCACATTATATAATCCGGATAGGGGATACTTAATCTGTATCATTCATAAAGTATTACTATGCTTGATTGACTACGAGTTAGCAACTGCACCTGTAAACTTGTCAAGGCGTCATTCGTTTCGGATCGTAATCGTTTTTCAGTTTCAAATCGCGACTTCCAGTCTTCAGCTGATTCTTCCGCAATCACAACTCGTTCTTGTAGCGTCGAGAGTTCGGTCTGGATCAAGTTTAAATAATAACTTAAAGAACAACTTTCAAATGTCAAGGTGAATACCTTCATGCTTTCTAAAGTTTTAGCGGCATCGGTATCAGCAGCATTAACCGATTGTTGCAAAAGTCGAATTTGTTCTCTCAAGTCTGTTTCCCTTTTTTCAGCTTCTACAGCTTCAGTTGTTGAAGTCTCTTCTACGAGAAGTAGATGCTCCTTGAGCCTCTGGAGTTCGCGGGACATTTTCTCGCGAGCACTTTGTTCACTAAAGGATAGAAGTTGGGATATTGAATATATAAAATGATAAAATGTTGCCTACAACCTTACTAGCGCCTGTGTGGCCTGCTCATTGGTTGCTACTTTTTCTTCAAGAACAGCCACATGAGCTAAAGCAGATTCCAATCGAGAGAAGTAGTCGACACTTTCAGAATGTTTTTGTGTGACCACCTCAACTTCGTAAATCTTATGCTCAAGATACAACGGATGCACTAGCCAAAGAAGTAACATTATACCCGTCGAAGTTGCTCATTCTGTTGCAAAAGAGATTCGATCACACCATCTTTCTCTCGTAACTTTTCATCAAATTCTGCAAGAGCCTGCAAACGCAGTCTATCAAAAATTCGATTCGAGCGTTCAAACGAGCTTAGCTAAAATAAGAAGAAGGACCATGTAATGAAATAAGAGGAATAAAAGGATATGTAGTTTACACAGAGTAGCTCTTAAATCTTACATTAAAATGACAATCCTGTGAAATACAATAATATCATAAATATGCTCAAAGAGCTTTTTAGTTCTCCTTTTATTCGAAAATTGGGATTCGCCCGTAGGTAGAGCATCGTGCATGACTTTATATTTGGCAATTAAAGGCAAGAGGAGGTCCGGTTCTTTGGGCTATCTCAGAGGCAAGGGCGGCAGGTTTGAAACCCCTTGCCTTGGCATCAAAGTAGGCTAAGCTTAAAAAAAGAGATAGAGATGGGGTTTCCCGATAAGTGAAGGTACGCATTTAGGTTTCATAAACACAAGCTGCATTTTAAAGTTCGGTTCCCCACCTTCAAAGGGGTACAAAAATCGCTACAACCTTTACAATAGAGGGAGGGAAAAGAATACTATCCCAATTTCGTGGAACATTTTTAGGCGTTGATATGCAAAAACCTTGGAAGTAGTAGAAACTTTGAAATTTTTCAAACAAAAAATTCTCGAAGAGGAATACTTTGCCAGACGTTATACAGAAATTCATTTCTCGCGTTTCCTTTAGAAAGGAGATAGAGAAATTAATTTCTGATACACATGTTTACGAACACTGTTTAAGCAGCTTATTAGGATTTGTTTCACGACTGGGAAAAACGACATGAAAAATTCAATTTTTGGGTTATGCATCTAGATGGAGTTAAGATAAGACAATATGAACTTCTGCGATCATAGGAACTCCACAAGTCCATAGGGAAACCTGCGAAGCAAATAATAAAAACATTGATGAATGGAACTATCTTAGCTAACATAACTACCCCTTTGAATAGAAGAAATATAGAATCAAACTAGAAATAATTAAAATCACCATTGTGGTATGCTATGATTACTAGTTTAAG